CTATGGTAGTATAAAAATTTTCGTTGTAGAGATGATTCAATTTATAATTTAGTAACGAATAGACTTGCATGGATTGTAGAATAGACAGAAAAGACTAATGAGTAGAATTGACAAAAAATCTAAAACAATAATCTTGTAACGCATATATGATTGAGCAAGTAAGATAAATTCTCTAGTTCTAGATTATTAATTTCATGTAGAAGGAATTTCTCTAGTTTAAATGACAAAATAACTGAATGTCTAAAATTTTTAATTTAATAGTTAATGGAAGAATAGACTTATAGATACAATTGTTGTAGTTTATTCATTAAAGACCGTTAAAACTTTGCTAACTAAGAAAGAACTAAAATTTTGAAGGAAATAACATAATAGTCTACGCAACAGAGCCAAAGGTATAAATTCAAGCTGCACGTAATGATCACTTTAATAATGATCACTTTAAACTAGAATCTCATCCCTCTAATTCTAAACCATTATGACTGTAAACTAAGAATAAACTAATAGTTAATGTGAAAGTTTCTATAGTTAACCAGTGTAGACAGATAAAGTGATAATTTATCGATTTTAAATAGTAGAATGTTAAGTTATGAAAGTAATATCAAATAGGACAAATCTCCTCTAACTTACATGATGATTCTAATTTTATTCACCGTTTTATAAATACGTGCTGAGGCGATTAGTCGGTTTGGACGCCTTCGAAAATCCTAAGATGAGAACATAGTAAAGTTAATGGCATACTATCTCAGAAAATAATTAAGTTTTCAATTCTAAGGGATTGATTTCCGGTAAACTTGGATAATTAGTCAGATCTGTTTCAGTAAATAGAATCTATTTCATTCGATGGTAATAATAATTTTAAGACTATATCCTAGCATTAACTCGGTTATAATTACAGTATTTGGATAAAAACCGCCTACAGTTACCCGCAGAATAAAAATATGAGTACAATGATCGAGAAATAATGACAGGATATCAATTAGTAGTTATTGTTTTGATATGGAAGCAATAGGAAGGGTAAGTAGACGTAAGTCAATAGAGTACTACTAACTCGACGACAAATCACAATATTTAATTTCAAGATATCCAATCATAATATAAAATAGACAATCTATGGCTAGCAAATAAAAGACCAAAATGTAAAATGAATTGTGGTATTGGCTCGTTCCATTGATGGTACCAATGTTACTACGGTGGGCAATTAATTGCATGAGAATACTAGAATCGAATTTGATCCGTCATGAAATCTAAAGTAGATAATGTAGTTTACGATATCGTCGCCTACTAGTAGCAAGTTTCTTACTTATTACCAGATCAATCGAGTTAAATCGAGTTAACGTATTTTCCTAATATTATATATTTAGCCTATAGCAATAGGCAATCGGATTCGTACTATATAAGCAACTATATCATACCTATTTCTGCTTTCAATTCATTTAGTTTGTGTCCTGATAAAGTATAGAAATGATTATGGTAGTAGAGCATAAAGAAAAAAATTCCTCTTGCATTGCAATACATTGAAATACACTGTAAGAATAATTTTTGATGTCTTTTAATAACTTTCCTTTGAATTTTACTATTTATTTAGTCAGTCAATCGTCTATTAACTCCCCTCTTGCTAAACTGAAGTAGCTCTCGTTAGAATATGTATAAAAATATATCTAAAAGTTGATGGATATTACAGCTAAGTAAGATAGAAAGAAAAATCTCGAAACTAAAAAATTTTTATGGCAATCCTATTCCATTTCCCGCTTGTTTCATTTTATTATGTTCATTTTTCTTTTTTTCTGAATAGAATGATACCCAGTATTTACGTCATTACAGGAACTAATTAATAATGACCACCCGCTACTATTCATTCTTTAAGATATGCCATGAGTGCAATCATGACAATGGAAGTGAATTAGTTAAATTGTTCTGTGAGAGCAAAGTGATTTCTATTAGTGGTAACGATGATCTTTTTCGTCCAGTCGGTTTATTTTGACTGTAATCACTCCATAGCAAATGTGTCAATGAGTTTACTTTTAATAAAATTAGTAGTTGGACAAAACTAGGAGAGTAAAATTTAGCTAATATCAATCTTATGTCCAACAGGAATCATTTATACGATTCTGTTCAATGAAAAAAGTATTGAAATACTAAACAACTTCGTGTTACAGTAATGGATTAGATACTGTACTGTCAAGCATTCATGAGCGAGGGATGAACTTGTCAAGGGAGAATTTTAATACCAATAATTTCACATTATGTTAATATAAAACTAGCTTAAATCTAATTGTTACAGGTAGAGATTGAAATAAATTTGCAACATCAACTTATCAGTCTACAGTTGAGATTTCTTGCTGCATTGATCCAATATTTAACCGAATTTTGACATAAACTTATCAATAATTTTTTTCGTCTACGTGAAAATTCTTAATTTTTTCAAAATTACACAAGGATATTTATACTATATTTAAGAGCTTATTTAACCTTGTAATCATAAACAACATAAATGGGGTTGTAAGCATTATCTTATGGATGTAAATACTGTCATAAACGTAATCTATTTTTCTAATTTTATTGAAATTTTTTAATTGACGGGCATAAAGGTACCGTTGGAAGCTTTAGTTATTTCTACAGATTTCATACAGACTAAAAGACATGAAATTTGTTGATAACATAAATACTATTTCAACTGCTATCTGTCTATTTTTACTGCCCCTATTTAGACGTAAAAGTAGAAATATGAAATTACAGTGTTGTCAATCTTGCTTTATTGATCTTAGCTTCTGCTGATAAGAAAATGTTAAAGGATATGGTGAAAGACAACGTTATTAGCATGCTTACTCTAACGGGTATATTGTGATATTCTTATGGGGGTAACAGCCTGGTCAGCTCGTTCTATGGCTACGGATCTGCTCACTAAAGTCGAATATCTTAGGAAAGTGATCGTCCTAACCTTTATCCTACTTAAGCTCAATAGTACACCTTAAAAGTAATGGGTGATACAGTATCGACAAATCTATAGGGGATGTCTTAATTTTAGTTTTAGTCTTTCTTTAAAGATTCAATCCATAAATGAACAGACTGATGTTAACATTCTTATGCTGTGCATTGGTTAGCTAAGATATTTACTGGTATCAGACTATGTATCATTATCTATCGCTGATTAATGTGTGATATCCATGTATTATACGATTTTTACCTAAACTATATATTCATTTAATTTTAGATCTGTCAGTACATACGAAATGGTCGTTCAATCGACTTATTATCGAACAATTTATGTAAAATAATTGATACTATGGTATGCATTATATGCTTTGCTATAGTCAATAAATTTACCCCAAATTTACCCTATTAGTAGTATATTAAGTTTAACTTACCCATGGTAACTTTTGCTTTCTACTAGTTTGAATCTTTTCCATTTCCTCAATTTTATCATACCTGAAGTAAATTAGAATGAAAAATTAAATTGGAAAACTCTGTCATCAACATTGCTCTCTGTCGTAATCATTTTTGATCATAAGTAGCATGTATGAGTAATATTTTACTTTAGATGTCATTAGCTAAAATTTATACTTTGATATCGAGAGAAAGTACACTAGTAATGATGTCATTATCATTACTGGGAAAATGAATTAAAGGATATTGAGTTAAATCAGTACATGTCGTCCACAATCTAGCCATTGAAATTATCATTTCTGAAAAATCATGTCATAGACTGACGATAATATTCTTTTTTACGACTACGTATGTTTTCGAATAAATTTATGCGTAGATAGCTGCAGAAAATCAGGTAATGGTGGCATAAAAATGATGTTGAAAAAGTGAAATTCATAGTTAAATTGAAAGATTTTATTATTGATATTGGACTGAAGACGAAAATTTTTTTGCCTGAAGCAGCTTTACTGATCATATCTTCATATCTATATATTATATAAATTTTTATATTTGGGAAGTTTTGCTGTAATGTTGAGGAAAAATACTTAGGCTAATGGTATCAGGAACACTTGCAATTAAAATGAATATTAGGGTAAAAACTATCATTTCTATGTAATGCAGACGTAATTAGAATATGCGATGCATTACAGTATACAGTTTTAAATATAGCGCTCTAAGGAAGTCCTATTCTAAATATGAAAAAGGTGAATATTTTGACAAAAAATGCTTTAATTTTAACTAAAGAAATCTTTATAGAAAGAGGTTTCAAGTTACATCATTAATAGAAAATGGCATAACCTTTTACTTCAATTTCTATGCTATAAGTTAACTTCAAGTCAATACTTCCTGTAAGATGTTATTGTTAAATTTCCGTAGCATTTAGGGCACAGTATTAATTGCTATAACTTTAATCAGACATCAATTTATGAATCTATTATTCTGTTATAGTCGTTTAATGCTTGGATACTAATAAGCGTACGGATTTGGATATGATTAAAATGTTTAGATTGTGAACAATCTTCTGAAAATAATTACAATGCTTGAAAATTTTTACTAATCTGGTTATTCGATCTACTTTCTACTGATAGCGAAGCTGATAATAGACTTTTCCAGCATCAACACTCTTATCATATTAGGCTAGAATGATCATGAACAATATATGATAATGTGTATATTTACTAGAATGTGATTTATTGACAAAATCAAGCACCTTTACCTTTTAATTTACGTTCAGTTCATTAACTGTAAGTACAGAAAAATTGCTCTAACCTAAAACATGTTTTATACTATTAACTTGGATGATGACTGAATATTTTTGTTTTTATTTTTATTTTACGTAAAGAAAGAGTCGTTTTTCGCTTGTAGTATCATTTTGTCGGATTTAGTGTTGCTAAGTAATCAATTAGTATAATTGCAGTGTAGATTATCAATCGAGTCACCAAAGTCTCTTCAAATAAGTGTAAATATAGACTGATTTTATCACCTATTATTCTTAACCTTTATTGATAGAATGTATATCAGATTGCTTTTGAAATGTTATATTTAGTTAAAAAAACAGCTAGAACAATTTGTTTTACTTACTGTATGCGGACGAATTTTTCCGATCCACCAGCAACATAATTGCCTCCTTGTTGTATCGATGCCATATCTTGAACTTTATGACCAAATGTCGGTGTATAAATATTTCGTACAGCTCCACTTCTTGAGTTAATTCCATTGGTTACCATGCTTAATAAAGCATCGAAACTACGAACTTGTTTGGGATTCACGGTAAAACGACGCGGTTTATAAAATCGATCGCCATTTCTATAAACGTGGATATGAAAACCATGAATTGGTGGTAATCTTGTTGTCGTCATAGTTGATGTACTGGCCGCCATTTTACTCTAGATTTCATTCTACAATTCGTTAAATGTAAAGGGTAAAATAAAAGTTAAAAAACAAATCGTAGAATAGCTCGTTGGCACAAAAATTAATGCGTTCGATGAAAAAATAAAATAGGATGTTATAGAGATAAGTTTAATCAATTCGAACTTACTAGGGATCAAATTAACAAAGTTGAAAATTGATAGTGTTCACCAACCAGTAAAGATCTTGTAGAAACGGTGAAGGTTATTCAATGTGGTGAGAGATTGATTAATTATTAGATTTTAAGTCCAGTTAAGTAGACTCATCACGATTTTGGGTTTATTGGGACATCACGTATACTCACGTGTAATTAACAATCACTATTGAAACTGGCCAGAAAAATTTTTTGACACTGTTTAATATACGACTTACACCTTGACAACAACACTTATTATTATTCTTAATACTCTGGACGTATTTTTAGCTTTGCTTTAACGACTGCTTTCGCCTTAATCACTTCTATAGAAGATCTACTTTGGTTATTCTGGCTACTAACTTATTGTAACGTGGAAAAAAATTCTTCAACTGCCAACAACTTTTATATTAAACTAATATTAGTTAAAGTCGCGTGTATTCTTGTCGATGATCGGACTATAGATTGAAAATGATCAATGATGTTGCCAAGCAACATCAAGCAACATCATTGATATTTATTCTTGATGAAGGGATAAAAAAAAAGCATCCAGCTGAGACTTTTATTCTACATGACTATTATCATCATATAAAAGGTGGCCGATCAGCATATTAATTGATCTATATCATGTCAATTCTATCTTGTTATTAAATTAGTCATGTTATTATTTGATCAATTCTATGTAGAATCATCAAAATTTTACTGTATTGATTTCGGTATTGTCATAATTTTGCGAGTGGATTAGCCTTCTATACCAAATGGAATCGATGACTTTGATGGAATGATGGCTTAATGAAGATGACACTGATGGTACTAAGAAATCATTTACACTGATCTATTTAGATTCGAATACAAGTATCATAGTATAATTTTTAAAGCTGAAAATGTAAGCAATGAAAGACAAATACGTCTACAAAATCTCTTTGGTCTTTTCATCACTTCATAATGAACAATGACGTAAAATACGAAAGGATATTGTTTTGTCAACTATAAGAATGAAGAATTTATTTACCTTTATATTGATGTATATTATAGAAGAGATGATAAATGATATGGTAAATAACTAGTAGAAAAATACTGGTTGGATACCTCACGTTAGCTTACCAATTTAATTAGTGTAGCACATTTAGTGACAATAATTGATCGATTTTTATTATCGATGCTAACTAAGTTCAATAATATTAGTGCAGACATGACGAAATGTACAATAGGCGGAATAGGATGATTTCTAACATTGATGCTTAAATTCCTTTATGCTTTACCCGTTTATTCGAGATACTTTTACATAATCTATTTAGATTAATTTTTTAAATTCTGTTATACTTTGTCAATTCAGCTCACCTTTATCAATCTACCTACCTAACAGTGCCAGGTTTGAATATCTAGTACATATTTCAGTCTTGCCTACTATACAACTATGTATGCAATAATTTATACGTTTAAACTTATAGGCTTTTTATGCATTTTCTAGAAGTTACCGTTATGATTGTAGGATAACTTGTTAATTCTGATTCCAAACCCCATTTTCTTATGTTTTGTGGATTTACTGAAGTGGTTATTTGTCTAAATAAAATTTTTCTAAGTATATTTTATTCATTTCATCCACTGCATGGTTTAATTTTGATCCTGTCCAGAAGTATTATATTTAAAAATTCACAGTTTAGTCTTACATTCTCCACTTCTAAATTAAATTAGAATACATTCAGAGACTACTGTATTGTTTAATAATTTTTATCATGTCCTGTAGTAATAGACTTTAGAATCCATAATTTCAGTCTTGTCTTTCTCATCGGTATAATTATGCCTTAAATTACGATCCATTCAGATACTACAGTATCATTTAATAATACATGCATGCATACTGTAGATGTAATTTTTATCTTATCTAGTAATAACAGACTCTAGAATTCATAATTTTAGTCTTGCCTTCCCTATTGCTATTTCTACCTTAAATTAGGATGCACTCATCAGACACTACAGTATTGTTTAACACTACGGTAATTTTGACCTCGTCATTAGTAATAGATTTTAGAAGCCATCATTTCAGTCTTGTCTTCCTTATGGTTATACTTCTGCCTTAAATAAAAGGGGATTCGAGTTAGCGCATAATTGGTTGAAATACAGCTCCGAAAATAGATGATGTTTACAGTGAGCTCATAAGATTATGCGAGTAGGGTATCTATGATCACTACTTCGAGAAATGTAGATGGTCCTTGGTGGGAGGGCTGATTTTTGTCATAAAAGTAAAATTGAATATGAAATGGATGTCTGATTATATTATGTTTAAGAAGTTTTACCTAAAATTATCATAACAAAACAAGATTTTTAAGTAATGAGCTTCACTTCATTCCTTTCACCTGCCTATTTTCTCGTAGCTGATTATAATTAGCGTAGTGGTAATTATACCTCAGGTAGTGATGCATTAAGACTCATTAAATTTCTCATACTATCTCCATCATCTTACTATTTCGATTGCTAGATAGTGATATGCGTATGTAGCTTAACCTAGAATTGGCCACCAATGAAGAAACTCTCATTGGTTGATTTGCTTTTTAATTTTTCGATTGGCAATTTGTTTAGTCATTTTCTATTAAAAATTCAATTAGTATAAATAATTAGCAATTCCGAATAAAGAGATCTTCTTGGGCTGTATATTTGTAAAGGATATAGAATTTGTTATATGTCTTTGATCCATTGAAACGATTTAGAATAAAGGTGTCTGATCTACTTATAAATGATATAAATTTAATAATAACAATAAAACGATATCGCCGCCATTATCGAGCTTTTATGTACGCATCCATATATCGGGACTTCTGTGTAGAACGAAATAAAAGACAATTAAGTCTAATATTAATTAATCAATGAAATCTACTCTAATTGGCAGTTCATTTAAGATTTTATCTATTGTGTACGTAAAGTCATGGTTGGCTATTGATTTTAAAAGTCATTATAACTTATACTTGAATCCTAACTGATCGTTTAATGACCTTGCGTGCTAATTAACATAATGTATTCCTTTACAGCATTCTTTTGGAATGATTATTGTACCACTAAAAGGCTTTGCTTAAAGCTTTACCATTTTATGAAAGTAGCTTACTTTCCAATTCACTAAAATTGTTCGTAGTCTGTGAAGTTGACCGTAATAAAATGTTCACTACTTTTTTTATATACTGTATATACGGTATCTACGGGTATACGCTTATCTCTCAGGCTTAGTTAATCGCAATACCCGATCTGAATCATTGAAGCAGAAATCATAAAATCATAGCAAAGACCAAGGGTGTTTTGGTTTTCATTTTGTTTGAGATCTATTTACTTTCTTGTTATTTCTCTATCCAATGAGTAAAAATAATGACTAAGAAAGCATGGAGAATAAGCTACGTCATTGAACTCGTTGTGTAATCCCTGACCGTAATTACGTTACTAACTGTATAAATCGAGTTTATGGAAAGTAAATGATGATTTTCCAGCAGTTATTTATAAAAGAAATGTTATGTCCATTTTTAGCTTTTCCAAGCGTGTGATCATTTATTGCAGTATTGAATAAGATGATTCCCCAATTTAATCTACTGCATTTTAATTTTGAAGGCTATTAAAATGCGATACAGTGCTGGAGGCCTAGTTTAGTACTAACTCTCTTTCATTATCATATATAAACATCAACATCAACACTGTGTTGCAATGTTTTTTGTGGATAAATATGCCCACTCTACTTGACATTGAGAAAAAAATAGTTGCTCCCTAGGCAGCCTATCAAATGATTTTGAATCATTTTTCTTCTTTCTTAAGTGGTTTGATGTTTTAAATTTGTAACAAAAAAACTCCTCTCAACATCCTGGCTATCTTCTATGTGTTATTACTGTATATTATTATAATTATGAAGGCATTGACTTCACTGCTATTAGTTCATTTATTCTAAGATCACTTTGACTTTATTTTTCCACTTGCGCCATAATTGATGGAGCAAAATCAATTCGATAGAAGTCCGAGTTGGAACGTTCTTGGTAGAACTGTAGGTCTGCTTATGGATGGGCCGCATCGTTTTCATACTCTTACGTTAGTAAATTTGTAACAAAAAAACTCCTCTCAACATCCTGGCTATCTTCTATGTGTTATTACTGTATATTATAATTATGAAGGCATTGACTTCACTGCTATTAGTTCATTTATTCTAAGATCAATTTGACTTTATTTTTCCACTTGCGCCATAATTGCTGGAGCAAAATCAATTCGATAGAAGTCCGAGTTGGAACGTTCTTGGTAGAACTGTAGTCTGCCTATGGATGGGCCGCATCGTTTTTATACTCTTTTACTGTACGTTAGTAAATCCGTTGAGCTCGTCTTGAAGCGTCATGTAGTTTCAACATGAAGCGTGTCCAACACTGACTCTACTGCCTAATACAATAGTGCCTATGCTTGCTGAGTCATGCTTGTACCGATGTCCGTATAGTACTAATACACGACTACAGTATACTGTACTGTACGCAAATAGTATACTGTACTGTAGTGTATGCATACAGTACAGTACAGTATACTGTAGTGCGGTACATCAGTATGGATAGTTTCAGCAGGTTGATTCAACGATCTCCAATGAGACCATGACTCAACAAATGTGATCGGCAGGCGTCACACCCCAATGCAAACATACTGCATATAAACGGTTGCTCACTGCTCAGCTGAGATTGAAGCTGTGCTCGTCTGAAGCTGTGCCTACTGAAGCGTTTGCCTAACTGAAGCTTTACTCAACTCACACTCTAGCCATTCCATCACGCCCTACTGCCAAGCATAGAGACGCCATGACAGCTCTAAAAGTAGTTATGTTTCTCGGCACAGTTCGAGAAAATCGAATAGGACTTCGGGTAGCAAAATTTATTGAAAGAAAGCTGAAAGAGAGTAACCATAACGTGACTGTATTCGGTAAGGATTGACAAATGCAATCGCATCCTCCACAGTCTACCAAACAACTGGTCATCAAAATAGAGATTGATAGAAGAAATGAATTGATGACGAATTAATTGACGATATAATGATTAGCCAAGCAATGACCCATTTTGCATACTTTACTATATTGCTAACATCGTAACCAATCGGTTCGAGGTCTCCATTTCAGGGTGATCCTTCGCCCGGTGCTCATATCATTGATAGAAGGAAATATGGACAACATCACAGCTAATATAGTATGGATAGATCGTCATGCGTGTGACGATGCCATTTCTTTCGGTTAATTCAATTGATGACTGCAGGTTTTCACGCTTAGATTCTACAATGACTGAGTCGAATTCGTATCGATTAAGCTCGTTTAGACTGTTTAATCGATTTCTTTCAGTAAGATCAACGTTTTGGATTCATACTGCATCAAATTACAAAGTAATATTAACTTCTACTGTAATTATTGATCAAAATGAGCGCACATATATTCTATTAGCTAAATATATCGCTTGAATTATAAAATCATAATAACGGATTCTTAGCAAAAATTATGCTACGGATTACCTTAACTTCTAACCCTAATAAAGCAGTCGGATTTACAATATACTAAGATACTAAGTAAAATCTACTATTATAATCAACCAAATCAGTCATATTTTTAAAGCTAGAATAATTACAATACAAGAAGTTGAAGGGAAATTCTAAAAATTAACCTTCATTACATTTCTGTTACGATAATTTACTCTAATTATACGGTAAACGATATACAATATACTGTAAGCTAAGAATGCTTTATTGAGGATTGTCATCATTAAAGTACGAAAATAGTTGCAGCAATCTATTCAAAATAATGCCCTAACTATTAATGACGAGTAATCTGTCAAGCAAGCATGGGCTTTGGCTCATGGTACTGTATCTTGCATTACATGTATACGGTTATTATCTAAAGTATTCAATGTTTGAATCATGATATACGTATTTTATTATAGATCCAGTAGAGTTGGATCTTCCACTCTTAACTAAGCCGGTTTTTCACTACCAGGATCGCGCCGATGCTCCATCCAAATTGGTAGAATGTGAAAAGACGTTAAAAGCTGCCGATGCTATCGTGTTAGTGTCAGCTGAATACAATCACAGTATTCCGCCTGCACTATCCAATTTAATCGATTATTTCGGCGCTTCTAGTTATTCATATAAGCCTAGCGGAATTGTTTGCTATTCAATGGGACAGTACGGTGGAATGAGGGCTGCTATGCAATTGCGTAGCATGTTGGGGGAAATTGGCTCCTTAAGCACCTCCTATATATTTGGTGTTCCCAAAGCTCATCAAATGTTTGATGAAGAAGGCAATCCTCTAAATGATTACATGAATACCAGTTATCAAAAATTTATTACTCAATTAGATTGGTATGCGAACGCATTGCGAAATCATCGAGAAAGTGTTGGAACCCCTAACTAAATGGTGAATCTAACTGAAACCCAAGACAGTTAAAAATTGTGTAAATTAGATCTTGTTTAGACTTTAAATGATGATAAAGACACTTTTTCACTCCGCGTAGAAAATTGTATTGACTAGCCATCTATGGATACGTATATGATGATAGCGTCGTGACTGCGCTTAATAAAGCTGACTTGATAGTCGAGCAAACAATCTTTTCTTTACAGTTTATTGGTAGCAGAGAATTTAAATAAAATTATTGCTATCGATGCCGATCGTATTTATCTTGCTCTACGATGTAATTAAAGAGCTAAAATTCCGTTTTTGTTTATTCGTGTGGAAGATATTTTAGCTGATATAACGATGCGATATAACTAATGTATACTTCGTTCTTATCTTATGTTATCCTTGTACTTCAATTTCTATCTTCGCATTCTCTTAAATGTCGCCAGCGTAAAAGAACAATAAAACTGGTTTCTCTTTAACTGAGCTGATTACTCTTTAATGAATCTGTATGGCCTACTTAGTCTGAGATGATGTCCCAGCTTGGGGTAAATTTTCTTATTAACTTTAAATATATCACATACGGGTATATTTTGGTAGAATATCTAATGATCATTATAATTGTCATTTCACCAAGTCAAAAAATCGTAGTGTTGTACTGTGTAAGGTCTACTGAAGGAGATTTGAAAATTTATTAGCAGTATTATATTTACCTCGACTGTGCCAAACTAAAGCTAAACATGGGTATAGCGGATCATTATGCAGCATATACATAATTTAATACTGCATCTATCTAAAACAACCGAAATAGTTTTTAACCCTTAATTGCTGCCGATGCTGTCGCAAACTCGCAATCCACCTTATCTCTGTGGATGTTGTTAGTCTAAGCTACAGAATATTACATAAATACTTGCGCAATAGGATATGAAACATACAAGATATGAAGTAGACAGAGGCTGATGATGAGATGGTTTGGGTACCGAATGTACTATTTATACTTTAGTATTTATGGCAGTGACTGATAGCCTACCAACTATCTCCAGGTAATAAAATATATACAGTACGTCTCCTATTTTTTAGAGATCAGGCGTTTATACACTTTACGAAATATAAGTGATCGACGACTAGTGGTTATCTTAAAATATGAACCGAATGTAGTAGCAGTCAGGCTATTATAACTTGTTAATAGGATAATAAGACCATACGAGCGATCCTAGATTTTAATTGTATTTTAATCGTATCACCTCAAGTGATAGCATAAATATAATACAGATGTCGATTATACGTATCCATAATTAGCAATCCAATTATAAAAAAATTCGACATGGAGCGCGTATACAAACTTAAAATATTTCAGGAATGGGTCCATCGCAGTTAATTTCTTGACATTTTCTCTTCTAAGCTTTTTGTCAAACATTCTCGTACAACAGGATATATCCTTATACATCCTTCAAGACAATCTTTTATAATCTAAAAAAAGTGAAATCATCCTTATGCCATGCTAGTGGTATAAAATTCTTTACAATAATTCTGTGGCTATTATTACTATAGTCGGTACTAACCCTTTGGGTTGAATCTACATCTAATTCTCCATTCATAATTAATGCTGATACTTGATTCAATGAAGGCAACAACGCTATAGTTACATTAGCATTGGTTACTATTTCATCTTCTTCTTCATTCTATGATAAAAAATACAGTCATATCAAGATCTTGATAGTTATCCTCTAAGGCAACATTCTTTTCTTGGCTTGATCCAAAATACCATAAAATTAAGTAGTAGAGGTTACATACATTAAGACGACCTTCTTCCTCAAGATAGGTTGGGTCAATCAAAGAAAGATCTCCTATTTGACGCTAAAAATTGAATTATTTCGTCAATTATTGACATTAAACGTTGTACTGTACACTATATTGACAATAATTAATCAGCCTAACCAAGCAACAGCCAATTGCCACGTCAAATATTTCTATACCAGAGTCGGCTAAAGCTACTGAAGCAGCTGTAATAGCACCACCTAAGACTATAATGAAATAAGATTGTAATAATATAATCACACGTTATCATCTTGTATACTTAAATTTTTTCCTTGAGTAATTATTGTCAGTTTGAGATTGTAAAAATTACCACTGCCATCATTTTGCAAAACAGTAATAAAGATGTCAATTTGTGACTTTGGATATTTGTCCTAAGCGTATTAATATTAAAGAGATGGTTATTGAAGAAGTCAAGTAATGCTACCCATAAAGGATAGTCAATATACTGAACCTTTAATCGATAACTTACAAGTCGTACAACTGGCTGTAATGCTTGCACAATAATCTGTGAATATTCCTTCTCTTGAGAATCCTTTGCAATAAACAAAATACTTAATATAAGATTGTCAATTTTCAAAATTCTGTGCCAAAAGTGCAAATGAAATTGCTGATCTTTCACAATTCTCGATAAACATCTTCATAAATTGAGAGATATACACGAATGGGGTAGGGTTGAATAGAGTAAAGCTTATATTTAGCTCGCTTGCTGTAGAAAATTGTGATTAAAGTCTTATAGTGATGCCGTCAGTATGGATTTTATTTACCTGTATATGACGGCGACGACGCCGGCAGGAAAATGTAGCAAATTTTAATTCGCAGGCTACTGTAGCCTATATTTAAATAGTATGCATATAGGAGCAGCAAAGTTATCAATCATTGAACTGTAGGCTAAAAATAACCAAAGTTAGGATATCTATTTCGACCTGAATATTAAATTCTTGTTTCTTGGCTACTTCTCGTGGTCCATAACTGCATAACAGGAGCAAATTAAATTTGTATTTTACTACAAGGTTAAGCTCTACTAGTTGGCGTTTACAAGATTTGAAGAATTTAATTTAAGGAAAGAGGAATTTCCTTCGCATGTCTAACTATGAAGATACAGGCATAACAAACTAACACGGCACAAATAATCTTGGTATTTCTTAATTCAATATATGCAGATCCTACAGCCTGGCTGACAGCACCCGTTCTACAAACTAGACGATCATAAAATTTAGGCAGTTGGTAATCTTTACGCATATTTCACCTTCAGCAATATCAAGATAATCAATACGACATTAATCGTAAATAAAAAGTGATTCATTTATGATTACAGATTGGCCTGATTTCGTCAGATTTTCGCTGATCATGTCGTTGACCACGGGGTAGGACCTATGCAAGCGTTGATATATTTTAAGGTAAATATGAAGAGAAATTTGGCAAATTAAGCTATAATCTATCCATGCTAGTCTATAATATGGAATTTCCAACTGACAGCAGGTTGAGAAGGTTCATTTTCGATTGGTTCTGTTTCTTCTGGACCAGATATTCTATTTCGATCGATAGGCATAACGAGCTCGTGAATGTGTCTGAACAACCTTTCCTATTTGATCATATTACACAAGCCGATGCTGTAGCAATCTAATACGAGTAGAATATTGATCAATCCAATATCCAATTTAGAGAAAAAGCAAGAATTAGAGTAATTCTGGATAGAGACTGTATCAAGATAGTATCGATAAGTCAATGACAGCTTTGGGGGAAGAAGAAATCAATTAGCTCAAGTCGTTTTCTTGCCAATGCTGCAACTGGTCGAGCCTCTCCGAGGTCTGTCTGGGTCTGCTAACAGTATCCTGCCTCTGGGGAGGCTGTTTTCCATTCTCTATAGAGCTACGCAATCATGACTAAAATTTAGGTATATTAACTGTATTGGACGGTTTACATGCTATACGGAAGCCTGTGTACTCAGCATACGCAAAACAGTCTCCCTGGTTATACTGTACTGTATGCAAAGTGCTGCGATTAGCTGGTAGTACAACACACAATACTTGTAGAAAAATGGATAGAATGAGGCAAAAATGTCCATACTACGAGCTAGTCTAGTCAGCCTCTTGTTGGTTATTCTACTTTCTGGTTAAAATGATGAGTCTTAATACTATCTATGCTAGTAGCTAGCTATCCCTTTGCCAGTTTTTTTGGAGAAAATAACGCTTAATGAGCTAAACTTTGGAGGGGGGGTTAGTGGTTACATTATCTCTTCGTCTCTCTACTCTAGTATAGGACCAGTGACGTGAAACGGGACTTGTATAGAATGCCTATCTCAGAGTATATTACCATAGTGATCAATTGGAGGTGGAATCAAGCTTGCGCAAATCGGATCTTCCTATCCAGTAGAGCTAATCGGCCTAGCAAAGTAGCGGAAAGAAACAACTCTGGCGACAATCTTTGCAACTTAATGGTGTTTATAGTCTCTCTCTATGGTACCTTTGGATCTGTTTAGTCTATCGCTGCTATCGTTGAAATCTTTTCCTGGACCTATAGTATCATTGTGTAGGTAGAAGTCAACTTCTTGGCCCAATCTAAATCGCAAAATGGCTTTGCATCATCCTAATTTTGAAAATTTGGCGGGAGACTTGATCTCATCATTAACGGGAATCCAGGTAAATATAGAGGCTGTGAACTCTTTTAATCGATGTCAAAATGGAATTGGCTACATCGAGTAATCGTTAGCTTCAATTCAATTCCAATAGCAAGTTAGAGATAGCCTAGTTTAATTTCAATTTGGGCTGTTTACATTTCAATCACATCAATTAAGTAGTAAAAACATGCGTTTGTGATCTCCATCTTTAGTACAATACTTCACGCATCCAATTCAATTTGTAGCTATAATCAAATAGTACTGTATCTACCTAGGTATGTCGCTCTTAAAAGTAGCATCGATTGCTGTCTAATACCGTATACGAGAATGCAGTGTACAGTGATAACTGGTTGAATGGAATTCAACAAGCCAACAATAATTTTGACCTACAGTACTCGTTGGTTAATCATAGTTGCAAATACATATTCGACATCAACATACTTACTCATAGGTACATTGATGAAAGTCTCGATAGCGGATACTATATTGTCATTGAAATGGAAAGGACATAGTAATTATCTACAGTACTGTATATCAATCATAGTTGTAAATACTTCGATATCGCCATTATCACTCAGAGTTATGCTGAGCAAAGCCCTTGATACTATGTTTACGACTTGTTGATTGCATCTTACAAAACTCCATTATAATGATAACTCAATTTTTATAATCTTAATATTTGCTAGCCCAAGACTGAAAACTGGACGATTGCTTACAACTTTGTATTATCAAATTTCAGGTAAGATTAACTGCTTTCTTTCATTCTTGTGAGTACTGTCATGACTGATATTTTTACGTAGTTGAATTAACACGGATTGATTAATTTTAGGTGTGATAAAGTTCACTGTTTGCCTTCTATTCTTGCTAGCAATGACCGATATTTTATTATAATTAGGGACTAGCATCAATTGATTTATTAAAGATAGCGTACCTTTCTATCCATCTTATCATCAATCATGACGTAGATAATCACGCTATCTCTATTATTTTCTACATAGATTTCATCGATTCTTAGATGTTAATAGCCATCAAGTAGAGAGGAGTGTAGAAGGGTAAGCTAAATCCTTACGAATACCCGCATTCTTGTTATATATGTTCGTGTTTCTGCTGCCATTCAATTATATATCATTTTATGGACTTGCATATCGTTACAATTTCCCATTCGTAAAATCAAATCTGCTACATATACAGTAAACACTTGCTGCATTATTGATTAGAGAGGACAAGTCATTTATGCATGTATTATATTATATTATACTACAGTATAAGCAAGTTTACTTTGACTGAACTACCCCATAGCACTTATAATCTGAACTGTTAATTTCAATCTATAACCAAAATTTTCAATATTGATTATTCTTTAGCTTATGTACAAAGTTTACAATCCATTCACAGCAACAAAGAGGAGATTATCTAAAGGAGAAAACTCAACAGTTTCTTAATATATCCCTTCAAGGCAATATCAAGGCAACTATACTACATTAGCTCCTACAAAATTAGAAAAATACAAATTATATTGGGCCATGTCTGACTTTCCTTGGATATTATTTAATTCTAGAGCGATTTCCACTATTCCATCATATGGTTACTACTCAATAGTGCCAATAACCCTACACTGGATCGTGAAACCATCTTATTACGCCAGCAAGGTATGCAGGATAATCCAAACAACCTCTTAGCAGTTAATGACAAAAATAATAGGCTGTACATTCTTTTTATATGGGTGTCTATGTATTCCTATCAAATTGTAATATCATAATACTGATTTCTATACAAATATTAAATACTCACATTAATTATTGGTTGATTAAATAGCTTTATAAGTCACCTACTAGCATCCTCTCAAGTTTCAATGAAATGCTGCAATAGGAAAGCATTAATACTTTAGACTAGGCATTACAGATTCTATTGTAAGGATGTTAGAATCTTGACATATTATATGACATCTTTTAGTTTGTCGTAATGACAAAATTTCCTTGAATCCTAGTGAGTTATTTAGTCGATCAAGCGGTGATACTCAAGCATTCTACTTACAATAGCTGATTTTTTGTAATGTATAGTACATGGTTCGCGATCTACGTTTACTTGATTATATTTCGCATTAGTAGCTATGTGTTAGTAGTTTCAAATCTAGGGAGTAGCAGTATTAAGTAGGGCAGACCAACATCGAGAAAATCATAGTCTCTACAGGTTATGATATGCATACCCGTAGAAATGCGAAATTTCGTACAAAATTTAAAAAGCGATTGATAGTCATCAAATAATGTTAATTTAACACGTTTGCATTTCCATTATTATTATTTTACATTTCTAAGATATTATTAGCCATAATCTCATAGTATACCTCCATTATCATACTAATAAAGGATGCTAATGATACAAAATTAGTATTAAGACAAAGTAGAAAATTTCTACAAAACTGCCTGTTGATGCTTAAGATTGATAGAGAAAGTAATTCGCTAGGAGGTATATGTTGAATCTTTATAAAGAATTTTTATGCAAGTATGTACTGTACGATTCAAAACTTGCGCCGTTGTACACTGTACACTGAATGTACAATTCATGTAATTATTACTTTCTTAAAAAAGAGATTAAACTTTATTTTATTGCTTACAAAGATACGAAAGAACCAACTGATGAAGAAACAATTGACTGGCCAAAGTATTTAATGGAAGGAGAATATCGTCCTAATATTCACTTGCATATCGATAGGGACATTGTAATTACAATAGCTTAATGTCTGATAGAGTCTTCATTTCCTGTATTATTCATATTTTATTGGTATAGCTTATGCGTAACAATGTATTTCATCAATTCAGGTAAACGATGACGCAACTGTAAGATTTTCAGACGAAGTAAGATAAATTTTGCCTTCCTCAGACTTAAATAGTGTAGTGCTTGCAGTGATGCGTGTACTGTGTCTAAACATAATAACTACCCGCCTCTGCTTTAGGTTGATAAGGATAAGATAAACTCTGAAGCGCAAGAGACGTCTCAGTCAGCAGTAGCTGAGAGGCTAAATTTGCTGGTAAGTAAAATTTTTTGCTCTATTTCAAATCTGATTGTATACCAATATGTTCGCATATATTCCGTGGATGGAAATAATCATGTCTATTTCATAAATAGGATAATGTAACATCACAATTAGTACAAGCTTACTGGAATTGCACACCAGATCCTAAGCAAATCCGCAACCGTATCAAAACCTCTCACTGTCGAGACTGTACTCTAGCTTTCGAATGGTATATCAAGAATAATCACCAATTTTAACCCCTTGTTTATTGACTACTGAATAGTGTGCTATCAAATGAATAAAGTTGGTTGCTAATTTCAATACTATCTCTAGGGATGAATATATTGCTAGTAAATTGCAATTATATCGACCTCATACGAAAGTCGTTGTGACGGAATACCAGGTCGTCAGAGAAACACTTTGGTAAGTCGTCTCTACATAACTGTATCATATGTCGAATGCTCCAATATTGCACTCATATATCTTAACTGACAGACTCACTTTTTATTAATGTAATTGTAGCGACTTTTACCGATTATTTACAGTATGTACTACGCGTATATACCAGCATATTCAAACCTTTGCTGTTTGACAAACTGTGAAGCTACTGTACATATTAATTTTGTGACGATAGGATACTAACATACGTGTAAACTCTGCAGGATGCTTCGTGGTGTGAGAAAATTGTTTGTATATAAATTTTGCGATGGCTACTTTGACGTAAACCCGGATATGGAAGTTAGCCATTTAACTCCTGTATGTAAAAGCATTGATTTTTGTGTGTCACTGATTTTAATTGATGCTATTGCTAAAAGTTATATTTTTTAACGTATTGTAGGTTAGCTTAATTAATATTTTACGGCATTTCGCGAAAATAGCAAATATTAGAGCAAAAGTATCGAATTTTATTGAATCTATTACAATGAAACGTGATAAAAATCTCAATTTAACTTATCACGCATTTGCTGCAACTCTGACCGAGTTTTTAAAGGTAATATTTACAATTTTAATGAAATGATTTTTAAGGGATCTCAGCTTAGTAATATGCGTTCTTTATATGATCCTATGTCTAAAGACTTTTGACAACAACATCCTTACTATAGAAAGAAGGATTCTTAATCAAGGTATGACAAGTAACCAATATGGATTCGTTATTCACTCATTCTTACCGATTATAACGAATTGTGTTAGATATTGATGTATCTCTGCTGAAATTATCAAGTAAATTACACGTGGAAACCACTTTGGTATGTGTTTATCTGTCTTTATCGGAATAATAACTTTTTATAGAGATCAGACTTGCCTATACGGCAATGATAGCACAATGAACCTTTTTGTACGAATTTCAATATATAGATATATAGATCATAATTTACTTACGAGCTTTTTGAATTTTTTATTTAGATTCATACACTTAACGCTTTATTCGAGGAGGGCCTTGATATATCTAACAAAGAAGTGAGAAGCCTTAATATTTTTCTTACTCTTGAGACGAATTTAATTTTTTTATCGCTGTCTTTTTTCAGGATAGCGGCGTATCACAAATATCTCCGTCCAATGCACTGGTAAATAAGGCTATAGACAATTTATAAAGATCGTAACCCTTTCCGTCACTAATAATAGCATTATTCTTCTTCAAGCGAACTTCTCACTTACTATCGTCCCTATACAATGCTCTGATATATTTTGATAACATGGGAGATTCTGGTTTGAAGCTGGTACGCCATAGTTGCAGCTGGTTATCGAAATTTCATTTTGAATCTGTCACACGGCTATGATACTAATAGATATACACATTTGCAATTAGATGATAGATATTAGCTTTGTTGTACCATAAATGTACAGTACAGTATATAATATGGCATACATTCATCTTTTATTTTGTAAAATAATTCTTATCCATGACGAGTGATCCAGTCATATGACAGAAGATGTCAGTAATAACTGACTTTCTGTATTTAATCTACCCAGGTCAGCTTACTCTTGCCTATAATACACGATACTGTTAGACCGTATATAAAAATTATAGAAAAGTGGATTACAACTGGTGAATTAAATGATCCAACAGAAGAATTTTTCATAGTCAGGTTTAAGAAAATATAAAAATTTCGGTCTTAATCATTTTTTTCAACTAAGCTTAACTTTATTACTTATTCTGAGATGTTATATCCTTCTATCTTAAACAGAGATCGTGCCGTTAAAGTTAATGATGCGAAATTTTGGTTCACAGCATTGAGTGTAAGATCAGACAGTAACTCTGGAGATTCAAGTTTTTCAGAGAATTGGGTACCTGCCTTTTTACAAAATATTGTAAACCAGATGTTACTGATGGGCAAATCAACTGAACTTATTTACGCTATCATTCATGTGAGTTGTATCACTTTTTCAATATATTTATAACTTTATGTATTAGAAAACATGCGAAACTTTTTAATCTTATAGGCTGGTATGTTATCAAGTAACAGAAAATCGCGATTTTTAAAAGGTACGAAACTGCTTAGAATTTTTTTTTGATTTCTTAAGTATCTAGTTTGATAAGCTGAATTTTCTTTGCAGCTATCGAAAGCGAATCTCTATACAGTTTATTTTCTAAAACTATTAAGAAAGAATTGATAGTAACCTCAGGTAAGGTCTGAACTTGTCATTTCTGGTTTAAAGGCGGTAATTCACTTGTACCTACATACAGTGAAAATATCGATTGTTTTAAATTCTCCTTTAGATCGACAAAAGGATGAAATTAATTCATCAGATAATAATGCTGTCTGCGTCTGGAATTCTTTGCAAACAAATGATATTTTAAGGACAGTTGAGTCTAACAATCTTTTAGAACTGAACTTCTACGAAACTCTTAATGTTCGTCTTCCTCAGAGAAACTTAGGAAATTCCAGTGCTAAGTTAGTACAGTGTATTGAATTGCTCTAAATAATATAAAAGCTGACTATATTCATCTATTCTTTAAATAGTTTTGGATCCGCCTTTAATTGGGAAATTTCAAGTGGTAATGAAATATCTAGTAATAGCTCTTTGACATTTATTACAAGTTATATCTGCAAATTTATATGCCTAACTACTTGTTAATGAAGGACCTATTGTTTTGTCTTGATTCTAACGTTGCTTTAGATTCGAAATTACTCCATGAACCCTTTGAGAAGCTATTTCATAGGTGCCTGGTTTCTCATATAAGTTCGAGATATAAAGTGGTAAGTATGCTCCTTAAAATTGCTCACATTTGCATTGGTACCATTATATCGGTGATCGTTTTATTTTATTAGGCTTGTCGACATTTACTAGATATTTTAAGAGATGATTGTAAGCTATTTTCACATTTAGAAAATATAAGGGTAAGAATTTTTGGAGTTGTTTAGCGAAGAATTTATGTCTGCTAAGGATGGCTGATTATCGTTAATTTCTATCTCACTTCTAGAAACTCTATCTTATGGAAGCTGGGGATGCTATGCACTCTTTTTACAGTAATATATTTGAAAAGGTGTTTACTTAATATTTAATTCAATTCATAATAAGTTTGATAGTGGTTTAAAAAATGTTCTATCGTTGTTTGTGAAGATCCAAAAGGGAAATGACTGGAAAGATGTCTCGTACCTTGATACTATTCTAAATGAGGCAGTACAAGTTATTCCATCCAAGCAATCATTTTCTCTGTAAGATTTACGAAATAATAACAACCTTACTATGTAACTGCTTTCTTTTTACTTCTATTCTATACATAAGTATAGTGCTAGAGCTTGCTTATTTCTTTCTGAACATACGCACATTCATTTTGATACTCTTCTTTTGAACAGATTAACAATTAAAATAAACCATAGCGAGAAGCCATCGTTGGCAATAGAAACATTGAGTTGTCTAGATTTACAATATGAGGTATGACGTAATTATGCATCCTCTTCGATTCCGCGAGACCGTAATGTAATTAGAAGTGCATACTATCTGGCCAGTTCGGTTAGCCTGTCATTTGAAGTGTTATCTGCATTTGAAAGGTTGCGTGGCCTCTAGATATTGTTATCGATTCGTTTGCCATGGATTACTACAACAAAATTTTCAGATTTTTACTGCAAATAAAATGGGCTTTATGGCAGCTTGAAGATTTGAGCTTTGGCGGTATGTTTGTCAAAATTTTAATAAATTGACGTAGTTGAACGTAATATATAAAATAAGGACAACTATATTTTTGTTTTATATAGACCTCGTCCGGCCTAACCTTGACGAATCTGATATTGAAGCTGAGGAAAAATCATCAGATTATTTAACACCTTCCGACGACATAGAAAAATCATCCTTATTGCACCAAATGCATATTTTGCGATTTAAATTAATTCACTTTGTTAATGCTCTACATCAGTATATGATGTCAAAGGTAGGTGATCTTATTGACATACATTTGGAAGATGCCTTTAATTCGTACTGATTTATGCGAATTTATTTTCAGGTACTTTACAGCAGCGGAATTGAATTCCAAGATCGACTAGAGAAAGTAAAGATTTATGCAAATCAACTAAGAATCTTGATACAGCCTTTATAAAATCAGCTAAGGATCTCTATTTTCTATTGTAGGCTTCAGACTTGGACGAAATTATCGAAATTCACAAACGTTACATTAAAACTCTACATGATAGATGTTTGCTCACCGATAGGGTAGGTACAAAAACAATTTGCTTGAGAGTTAAATTAGATATGGTAAAATAATGACTATGAGATACATTATTTTAATTTTATCTGCTGGTAGGTTAGGATAGTCAGAGAAACTATAGCTAAAATATTGAATATTGCTATCATGTTTTGTCGTCAATGGGATAAGGGAATAGCTGATATCAGGCAAGACGAGAGATTTATTTTATCTCGCAGTTTTAATTACAATTATTGAAGCGACGAGTAATGCTGTGACATTTACATGATTAATTTTTAGCGAAAAAAGTTTGACTTCCTTTGAAGACGACTTTTCGAAATGTCTGCAATTCTTGATTACCATCATGAGTAGTATTATCAAGCGTGGAAATTATACTTATTGTAAGATATTGAGGATATGAAACTTCATTGTCATATTAGCTAACTTGCCTAAACTAAGTATAGATACATCAGGTTTCGCTTTTTAATTCATAATTATAGTGGAGTCACTAGCTTTCACTCTGATGTCTGCGCAATCAAATACCGGAAACCAGATCAATTAAAGGAATGCCCAAGTTGCTTTTTCTAAATGATTCGATAGTTAATTAATACAATATTGATGATTTATAACATGTGGTTTGTAGTTGTGTAACTCTCGACTTACAAATTAATCAAATTGACAAATTTGAACTAGCATGAAATTACCACAGTACATCTTAGTTTACAATAGATCAAAAGACTTGCCTATTCTGTGCTCTAAGTTGAAAGCCTTTACGTCGGTAAAACTGTTTATTTATACGTGAAATCTATCTATCACATAAAATTTTAATTAACACTGTATTCTACGAATACTCGAAAGAAAATTTCATTGCACAAAATGGAGTGCTCTTTATACAGATTAAGTTATAATGTATATCACATATATGATATATGATATCAAATATACCTCTTAAATTATTATGTTCTATAAAAGAAAAATTATACTTTGTATAAGGCCCGTAGAGCAGTCAGGTCTTCGGTCTTTACTTTAGGGTGATTAGCCATTACTATGTTACTAAAGGCTTGCTTAATATCTGAAAGTATTGGATTACACTGTGTTAGTTAAACTCTAAAGTTGTTTACGAAATTCTGGTTAACTTACTTAGCTTCTCAGAGGCACTGAGAAAAAGTAGTGACATTTCGAATCTTGGAACTTTCGAGAGGTACTTCAGAATTTCGTACGAAGTTAAGATATCATCTTATGCAAAGGATAAATTATGTGTTAGAAACTAAAAACTTTCATTAAGTATATTTTCCGAGTACTTACCGTTGCTATCTTTAAATTGTTCTAATAAAGTTTTTATGATTGACACAAGTGTATCTGCTTCAAGACCGTTGCTAATAACTACAAATGAAATTCCCCCTGTTAACTTCATCTTAGATTAAATGAGATTATTGATGCATTTTATCATTAAGTAGATTAATTACCCTTAACAAGAGAGCTAGGGGATATCTGCCTAAGCAATCTAGCGTAATCAACTGTTGAATTCGTTGTCTTGCGAACTGTCTCCCATGCCTTGAGGAATTCATATGGATTGCCCTATAAGAAATTTTTGTTTGAATTAGGTATTACATAGGATGTTTAAAAGTAAAATGTGCAAACAAAAAAAATTTAATTAAATTGTATAAATGTTGCACGCAGACAGTTTCAAGAACTAGAAATGCGTCTAATACCGATCTTAATTCGTGCTTTTCTTGATGGGTTGGAACTTGCTGATTAGATTTGAAACTCTGATTTTTATAATCTTTATCCTTCGTACGATCTTTCGCAGAATTCTTAAATCGGTGTGTGTCAAATTTCGTCGGCTCGCTTAAAACTTCCGTAGGAACCACCTCATCCTAATAAATGGCATTATTGACAGTATCATATCAAGCGGGCAAGGACTACTTACAGCAGGATGACATAAAAATTGAGAATACTAGTGCGTTTAAACTTACTTCATCTTCATTTATTTCTTCTATTTGCATTCGTTTTCGTGGTATGTTCTGTTGCTTATTGCTTACTTTATCTGTAGTTTCTTTATTTTTTGTAGATATATTTTCCGTTGTTTTTTTATTAGAGGTAGAATTTTCATTTTGACTTGAATTATGCATTTCCTAAGTTGGACGATTTTAAGGTATAGAAACTTTCTAGTACTCTACCTACGTCAGAAGCGAAAAGTGAACAATTCACTTAAAATGAGTTACCTTCAGCCATTTCTGCTTCGCCTTGTCTAGCTCTTTCCTAGCAGCTACATTCGATGGTTCAATCTTTAATAACAAATTTAAGTCGCGAATTCCCTCTTTATAATTTTCCAAAGCCTTTAAAATTTGTAAGCATACGTGTATATTAAATTATATTGTATACGGAGTGATATTTATCAGCAGATCTAGCAATACATCATCAGTACAAAGAAACTTGCGATAAGTACTCATATACTCGTAAGTATCACGAGCGGTTTAGATTACCCATACGTACAATTCTCGATAAAGCTCGTCTGAATAATGCTTTTACATTCGAAGGATCAACCTTTAAAGCTGTTTCAGTATCCGCTTCAGCCAAAGCGGCTTGGCTCGTTTTTAGATAGCAAAGAGCTCTATTTGTATAAGGTGCCACCTCATTTGGACGTACTAATATACATTGTGTATATGACTTAATAGCCTCCTCATAATTTCCCTAACATATAAAGATCCCAGTTATTGACAGATGCCAATGTAACTAAAGTACCATTATTATGCTTAAATAAAATATGCTGTGCATTATATAAAGAAGTAGTTAGAACCCAATCCGTACTATTTCACAACCTTTTTTACGTAGGAATTTCCTTTTTCTTTCATTTGAATATAATATTCCTCTGTGTAATTTGAATCGGATTTAGGTGAAGGAATCTCATTATTGGTAATTTTGGCTTTGCCTGTGTTTTCTTCAACATTGGAGGAAATATTACCGTCAATTATATCACGCCATTTAGGCCCATCGATGTTACGTAACGCACGTGACACTCTAAAATAAAGTCAAGAAATACTAGTCATCGGGCAATTCATAAATTTGCTCAATTGAAAAATAGATTATTATTTTTGTGACAGCTAACCTTGAAATACCATCTGAAGCATTTTTGTTGCTCCTATCAATTACATTTACGGATCTATAGTCCAGAAATGCCTTACGATATCTATATTCAATATATGATAAGATCATATTGTAAAAAATAGTTTAAGGCATAAATACGCTTTATAATCATTTTTACTACTTTTCAAGGATTTCGTAAGAAGCTGCTCTTCTCATCAATGGCTTAATTGCATTCGGTATAATATCGAGAGATTCCGAACAGTCAATAATACAATTTCGACAGTCTCCAATACGATGGTGGCACGCAGCTCTATTGTTCAATAACGATGCTAGTGCAGTTTGATTTACCCTTGTTTCTAGATAAAGATTTCATTCAATCGTTATGATACAATTTTATATTTAATAACACATATTTTAAATAGTATAACATTGATCTTGCTAACCTTTTTTAAGTAAATCAATTGCTAGAGAGTACTTTTTCAATGCCTCTCCGTATTGGCCGTTTTTATAGAGTAAATTTCCCTCATCTTTAATAGTAAGAATTCCCTCTGGTATTTCTGGTTCTGGCTGAACTGCCACTGTGGGCGTGTAATTAGGCTCTGGTGTGATAATGGGATCCTGAGATTTATCATTTTCCATAGCACTTAGTTCCGTACTCTCGTTAGTGATTTTTGTTATCGTAGATGTAATCCCTTCGTCAATAACCTCTGATTTAGGGGAGATCGCATTTTCGTTTATAATTATAGGTGAATCAGATTCCTGTTTATCGTCTGTGGTATGATTTGTTAGTGAATCACCAGCTGATTGAATACTAGATTTGACATCATCAGTTTGTGATTTTTCCTCATTTCGTAAGTTAATTGTGTCAGAGTATTCTGTATCTTCATTGACTTCTGTTATTACCATACGGCGACCCTTTTTTTTTTCTTTAGGCTTAGAATTAATATCGGCTTCATTTTCAGTATTGGATTGTTCCTTAGAACTTTCATCTTTTAAGTCTTTTAGTAGTTCCTATAATAAATTAGACTTTCCGTTAATGCGCGTTAACTCAGTATTACAGTATGTTATCAATAAATATAGTACCTACTAAACTAACGGTGATTATAATACGAGTACAACAGCTAATAGCAGTTAATAATTTAGTATATTTACTATAGTTCGCATACCATAGCTTTTTTATTTTCGGGATCAAATGTTAGAACAGTTTCAAAGTCTAGTTTTGCACTTTTCAGTTCTTTCCTTTCCTTCTTTGCAATACCTCGACGCAAATACGCTATCCATAAGGAATATAATGAAAATTAATTAAAGTATATAATAGCACTGATTTATATTTTCGATTGAATCACCTACCCTTAGAGTTACGTGGCTCCATCTCTATTACCTTCGTACAATCTTCAATTGTTTTAACATAGTCCTTCATTCGCAATGCTACATAGAAAAGTCAAGAAGTCACAATTTAAGAACTTTTAAATTTCTAATATGTCTAAACAGCGAGGCTGACCTGCTAATGCTCGATTATTATAAGCAGCAGCAGTTGGAATAAGAGATATACTCCTATCATAATATACGATAGCTTCATTATAATCTCCTGCTTTAAAAGCCTGTAATATTAAGATATGTACATAAGAATTAATCTATAAAACATACATTGAAACCTGAATAGAAATAAGTATACCGGATATATCATACTGCTGGATAATATCACGTTAATATGCCTAAGTTACTGTATGTACGTACTTCATTTCCTTTATCCTTTTCCCTATTGGCCTTCATTATCAGCTCATTATCATCTAATCCTGCATAAAATTTAAGTATAAAGAAGGCACAATACATGGATTTAGAAATTCGATATGTTAAAAGCTTAAATAATTCTATAATTATAAGTATGATAATTTCCGTAACTCGCCTTCTTTGTTTACTTGTTGCTGTAATTCTTTCAGTTCGTTTTTACTACCTGTAGGCTTTCTCACCGATTTTGTGTCCTTATTATCGTTACCGACCTTAGCCAACTCCTCATCAATATTTATTCTATATTGAATTACATTATATTTAATAAATTTGGCTACTTAACACGGTATAATTAACTCCCATTTTACACGACGCTTACTTATCCCATTCAGAATAACTCCTTGGTGCAGGAGGTTTCCCGGCATTGTTATCACTTTTCTTAAGACTGGCATCTGCATCCTTCTTATTTGACTAATGTTTAAAGTAATTTACATGGGATTAGTTACTAGAGAGAAAATGATGCCTTTAGGTCAAGTACTGTATGGCTAAGCAAATCTGATCACACAGCATCTTGACCTTTTCGCTATCATTTATTTATTTTATTTTATTTACTAGTATCAACCAACCAAATCAATGTTTGAGCGATCACCAGAGCTTCTTACTGCGGGTACATCATCAAACGCTTCCTTTGACATAGACTTGGATTTTAAGTGATCATCTGTTGCTGCTATTGAAGTCATCCATTCTTCCATATCTTGAATGAGTGTATCACGTTGATTCTTCTCTAGTTGAGACGTTTTAACAGCAGGTTTCTCTTTCCATAGCATTTTACTACATTGAAAATATTACCAATTTAAGGCAAGAAAAAACAAAAATATCTGCAATTAGCTCAGCTATAACCATTATTGAAGCATTTTTAATCAATAACACAAGAAGAAAATGGAATAAAATGAGATTATGATGGAAAATTGGCGATAGTTAATAACTCTATCCAACCGCTAGTTGCTTGACTTTCTTGCATGTAACCATAGCAACTGCGGTGGAGCTGAACTACATGATTTTTGTAATCTTTCAGACCTTTTAGGATTAACGGTTTCTAGTTTCTTTTCAGCAAATTCAATTAAATCAGGATATAAACCTTCATCTCCCGATCTATGTAGTTGACAGAGACATCATGAATGTATAATATCGAATGATCAAATTATGGTCAAGCAATGACGAAAGCGCAATATCCAAAATGAAACCATCATGCATTTACCGTAGGACTTTTATAATTTTTTCCAGCTCTTTAGCATTGTTGCAATTTTTGATATAAGAATAATCTAAATGCTCAACTGGAATATTGGAGTTTTTTGCATAATCTCTACCGTAGCCTTCCATGACTTTCAGTACTAACCGTCAATCAGTAATAAAATCCAACTGCAACCGGTTAAAATAGTTCCTAAATGCTTTTACTTAGCCGCCAAGTCCCGTTCAAAAAACACTATAGTGGATATCCACACATAAAGTCTGCTGTTCTAGCATAAATGGTCATAGTGTACCTGTAGCTATGCAGTACTGGATGGTAGAGTATAGTTCCGTTGTCTGCAAGTTACCTTACCGCATTGCACTGACTGTATCGTATGAGAAAGCTCGCGCATGCTTATAGGCTGCATTGAGAAGGTCCTGCGCTTGAGGTACGTATGTTTTAGCCCAAAACTGATCGCCAGTTGAATGCAAAACATGGAGAACGAAGAAGTTTTCGATGATGCGACGAATCCCTTTAGTGATGACATAAATCAGGAAGATCTTCAGGATGTTCCATTATCAAGTAGTCATGTTGCTGTCAATGAAGAAAATAACACACCGTCACCTAATAATAGAGACAATAATGCTACTACTACTAGTGACGATGTTGTTCAAGAGACCAATGTTCAAGATGATGATGTTGTTCAAGACACCAATGTTCAAGATGATGATATTCAAGAAAAGAGCGATAATCAGGACAAGGAGGAAGAAGATGATAAATTGCGACTAATTGCTGAGGTACTAGAATTGCAGCACACTCTAGATGATTTATCACAGCGTGTTGACAATGTTAAAGAAGAGAATGCAAAGTTAAAATCTGAAAATCAAGTCTTAGGACAATATATAGATAATCTAATGGCAGCCTCGAATGTTTTTCGAAAATCTGGTACATCAAAACATGTTAAATCTCCTACGATTAAACGACCTTGAAGATATCTTTATTATTATACTATGTAGCCAATTTATACCTATTCTTATAGTTCACTGTCAAAAATTTCAATTCTTATTATTAATAAGATTAACTTATAGTCTATGTAATTCTTTGACTAAGTACATTGTGTCAGTATAGAATTGCTGTACTGTATTTCTGATTTGTCATCATCCACTGCAGTGTACTAATATTAATTTCTATGGGTATAGCAACATCAATTACATTGTAGTCTTGCAGTTTCGACTAACAGAATATCATGAACCAAAATAGTAAATAGTCAACAGGCACTACTCTTTTCCTCTATACTTGATATGTTCGATATAATTTACTGTCTTTCTGATCTACGATTACATCAGAATACAGACTGTTATATCATTAACTTCTAAAATACATCCACGGTTGACTACTAGTAATGCAGACACAACAGCTAGTTCGTGTTTCAGTAAACATTACTTTTTTTATATTTATTCATGCTTGCATAAAAATTGACCCAGTCTAATTCATCCATACATACTGACAGCTATACCAAACAACTTAATTTTCAGCTATATTTTGTGGCTTTTTAAAGTATTATAATGGTAAATTTTGATAACAACTCTCTAAAATGCGTTACCAAATTAACACCGGTGATTCCGCTTAGTAATATGAATCTTAATGAAAGTTAATGCTTCGCTACTTAAGCTGACCAGTATGTAGAATTAATGAATAATGTTAGACTCGAATTTAACGCATCTTGCGCTACACTTTCAACGTATTTTCAAACTATTAACACATTAAGTTGTCATTTATGGCTTCTGGTGAATGGAATTTTATTAGAATTGACAAACTTTAGATTTATTATATATATATATATAATATTTATATGTTAAAGTCTCATCATAAAATCTTGCAGATGACCTTGGTCTAGTCAAAATTATGATTAGCCTTTAAAAATATAAGCGGCTAGGGTAAGAGGATAACTTCGGCGGCACTTGATATTTTGAGTATCGTTATTATATCTTTGGCGCAGAAGATCTAGAGGTCTTAATCTTCGGATTTGGAGCTAAAAGAATCGTTACACAACCTTTAATATTCCTTAGCATTGAAAAATTTATTAATGTTGAAATTGGATTACTGTAAATTTGGCTAATGATTTGGAATTAATATAGGCAAATCTGAAACTTTATGAAGTCTGTTATGTAGCATGCTGATAACTGCTTAGTATGATACAAACTAACCGTTTGGATTCTGCCCTAAATAAAATTTTTTTAATAACGTCACAGCTCTTTCTGCTTCTAGTCCAGGTACAGTCTTAAATTAATGCAAAAGTAAATCGATATTAGCTAGAGATATGCTCTTATAGGTCAAGTGGATGTCGCATAATGGAAGATGTAAAATTTTTTGCTTACCTTAAATGTATGTAAATATCTTTGGTCCTTATATAAAGTGTATTGACAACATCGAAATCAGTTTAAGTTATTTCATCTTGTTACTACGACATATTCTTTAAGTAACGAACCTGGTCTTCATTGTTTACGCTTAAACTATCACTGTCAAAATATGATAAAAGGTCAAGTCAAAAATATAATTTCAGCAATTTCTATATTAGCTAATTTTGTTTATTTCGTTAAAATAAATCACTGATATCGACTGCTAGTACTATCAATTAAGCAAACCTGCAATCAGGAGACGAAAAGTGATCAGTATGAATTTGTAATACAGACCCACAGCCTCCGAATCTCTCATTTGCACAACCATATATTACAAGTGGTATGCATAAAGAAAGTTAAGGAAAGCCTAAGATATTTCGAGCATAGCAAAACCATCACAGCATATAAATATTGTTTAAGTATGCAGAAGATAGTTTATTTGATTCATGTGATTTTCATATAAAGTAGGATACGCAAATATCTTAAAGCCATGGAGCACATGATACAAGGTTCGACCGTTACTAATAGTTGTGAATTCGAAAATGCCACACTGGGACGCACTTGATTATTCTCACACCACTTATAGGCCTCTTCTATTGCAACCATCTCAGCATGTCTTGTTGCCTGTAAACATGCACTACAACTATTAATAAATCTTGCATATCATCCCCTTCGTATCGAAATTGGGGACGATTTTTGTAATGTTCATTTTGATATAGTATGGTAATTTTGAACAGATTTACGGTAAATAAATTTTAATGTATAAATATAATATTATGAGACACTGATGCATATATCTAATGCTCTGTATTTTCTGCATACGATGAAAGCAACAGTACACGTATTTCATTATTTAGCTAAATGGAAGGTTGGTCTATAAAGTAAAATTGATTTAAATTGCGTTTAAACTTACATTTTTAACCTCATTGACCTCATTACGCCCTTTACCAATTATTTTATTACCAAATACCTGTACAATATTCATATAAGTATAGGATGAATATTAGCAATCAAACTATCTGCAAGTAAGTTACAGACAAATAAAATATGAAATATCAATGGGCACACCAAGACACATCCAACTGGGACTTCGCCAGCGACCAATGCTTCATTTGCCTGTATGTGTAGGACAGACAAACATACATTGTATTTAGGTAGCATAATGCTACGAAAATATACTGTGAATAATTAATTAGTATTAACGTAGATACTGTGCGTATTTTAAGGTAAGCAGAATAAAGTGCGATACGAGTGTAGTACTATGCCAAGACATCAAGTCATCTACTTAGTGATAAAGCCACAAGCATTTTGATCAGTTCTAGAGTTGTCAGTCCATTAATAATGCGAGTATAGATTAAGCTCACTGTATGTTAACAAAATTAATCATATTAGCAGTAAGTCTTCTTTTCAATTATATAAATGAGCAAACGCATTAGGATACAACTACATAAATGCCCTGAAATGATCTAACTAGAGAGTAATGTCGGTTCTTTTTAGGTTTATAAGTCACCACGATACTAAATTCAAATTATAATCTAATAACATTTGATAGTAACTGTTTCAATTGACCTAGCTATAAATAGATATGATTATGATGATGTATTTTTATTACCAGTTCAAATGCAATTTCCATCCATTCATTGGAATTAGAACCTGTTGTGGCCATCAGTTATATAAAATAGTTCAATGTGTATCTTCGTCATGGGATAGCACATTTCGTTGTTGATAATCTAAAGAGTAGCATTTATTTATTCGACAGTTAGCTACGTATATAGTATATAATATACTTATAGGTATATGTAGGAATATATTAAACGAGTACTAACTCAGTATAGCACATGTTGGATAATAAAATTTCTACAATAGACTGAGATCAGATCACAGAGCTTAAAATTCAGATTGCTATCTGTATTAAAAAGTATATCATTGCTCAGAGTAAAGTACAACCTTCTACAAAAACGATACTACATCATCCGCTTCCGAGCATTTTACACTAAACTTGCAGACTATGTAACTGTTTATTAGGCCTCATGTGTCCGTATATAATTAATTAATTCTAATTATTTACTAAGCCTCCCAAATACCTGTTCAGTCAACGAGTTTTATATCCCTCTTTCTTTTAGCAGTCTGTAGTTTAGTATACTCCGAAACTCAATGTCATCAAACGTACAGTAGTTTGAGTTTAATATTAATATGACTTTTTGAATGACTCTTGAATGATTTCCAATAAAAAAATTGACGAGAATGTTTTAAATTTGTTTTTATTCTTTGCCAATACTTTACCTCCAATCTAAGCATGTATAAGTTGAAAAATTTAATAATACGTATCAGGAGTTACTAATTTTGATAATACATTAAAGGAATATATTTGCTTTAAATTACTTTAACCTATTTCCCGCTCAACATAAGGTAGTCTGAAATCTAGGTGCAGAAAAGAACTTAAAGTGAACATGCATAAAACTGGTATGGATCAATATTGATTCTTGAAAAAAGTCGATATGGATTAATTAGAGACTTTTAAGAGGAGAAGTCCCTGAATCAATCTTGATTCTTGAAATATCTTAAGAGGAGAGAAACACTTGGCGGGTTGTTGCATCCGCACTGGCTACTACATAGTCAGTGTCTTTACCGGCCGAAGATGCATATAACTCATGTGCGCACTTTATCACATATTCATCTTGAACAACATGTTTTGCTATCTGATGTAACGCATAACCTTTCTCATTTACGATCTTTTCTAAGAAATTGTAATCGCCTACTGTAGAAGAGAAATCAAGTATTATCTGCCCATCTTTAGCTATACAGTATACTGCCCAGCATCTTGTGCAAATCTTGCAATTGTTTGATAATTGGGATCTACAACTGCTCGTATCAGTATGGTCATGCTGCAATCATCTTCTCCCAAATAAAACGGATGAGATTTTATACCAGAATTTTATCATCATTTATTGCAGCTTACAATCAACGTAAGAATGCACCAGTTGTTGTAGAGTAGCATGTAAGTTGTCTTGAACGATTACAACTGATCCATAGCTGAGATAGAAGTCAGCAGTCATACTAGAAATTATAGCTATCAGGATGCAACACCTCCAAATAGTACTGTATAAATATGATACGTGCCATGTTGTCTTACTCAAGTGTCGCTGACGTTATGTAAACTAGGTATTTTTTCTTGATAACAGAGTAAAAAAATCTATTCCTTACCCTATAAGACCTCTAGTATAGGTCTATTTTCGGTCTTTTCTTGGGAAATGGCCAATATAGAAAAGCATATGAACCAAAGATTCAAAAACCTTCTCTAAGTTTCCAAGTTCAGCTCTGTGCAACTTCTTTCATCAAGGGAAATTGAAATGTTGCTTAGTCCTTCTGGCTGTCTGTACACTACCTGATCGGTGCTCAGAACGTACAGTACAGTACTATACAATGTACTGTACACTGTACACTGTAGGGAAAGCATCGAATGGTGGAAGTTAATGGCCAAAATATGCGCGATGCTTTGATGAAATGGAGGATAGTAATTGCGTATTTCGATCAAATTAGAAGATTATAATGAAAAATAGTGAATATTTTTGATGGAAAGTTGTACGTGATGGTTCGAAGTAAACCATCAACAGGTGTACTCTATTAACAGAACATATGGAAAGTGGCCGTAAAATATCCAAGAATCAGACAGAACTTGGCCGGATTACACAACAGTTTATACTAGTTTATACTGTACTGTAGTGGCAGTGCTGTCATACAGTACAGTACTGTAGTGTATATTGATCGCAGAAAGCGACGGCTAAAGCTTCCCTAGGCGGCCATCTTGTCTTGCAGGTTTTGCAACATTGCTGTAATAGAACTTGTGAAATGGGACGCGTAGCAGACTAATTCAAGACTTGCTTATTGATTGATTCGTTTTACTCACCAGTTTCAACTGCAATCTTGCAGCCTCTTTGCAGGTTGGAAGCAATCATGACAGCAGAGTACTTGTGTAATTTTCCAACTTACTTGCGACATTACTGTCAATGACTTCAATGCTAGATGACTATTGATTCGGATGTACTTGTACTGTTGTTGATAATTATAATGGATTAATTAACAGTTTACAGTTGATTACAATCGAAATAGATTGAGTATTACTTAATCTACTGTAAGTTTTAATCACTTCATCAGGACTAGCCTACAGCCCGCTCGCTTGGAAGCCAATGTGGATGATTCTATACTTTTTGAACTGAAATGAACGCCTAGAATGATACATACGCGTATACGATACTATACCATGCCTATTTAATTGGCTGTATTGATCTGACCTGTTATGCTTATGAATGCTAAATTATATGTGTATATTACTAGTTGGTGGCCTACTCGCTACGCTTACATTAGTCTTCTTAATCCGGTTTCTTTATTATTGATGTATATTGTACGCTTATCATTATAATATACGGTATAATGATACAGAAGATCCCAGCAATGTTCTACTTTTTAAATGGCTTGATTGTTAAGATACATTCATACGATCGCGGAACGTAGCAATCAAGCTAAAAGTTGGATGTTATTATTTTAGATGTATAGATATGTATAGTTTTACGGTAGTCCACTGCCATTCTATCACTACCTAATTTCTCATAACTTGTCATCTTGACTACTTACTATTAAGTACAATCGCTCACTATGCGTATTCTACCATTTACATCGGCAGCTTTCGTGGCAATCTCTGCACCACGTTGGCAACTTACCTACTTTCAAGGAATTTAGACATCATTCTTGCGTGTATAGAAAACAGTCAAACTTTTACCGGCTACCCCCAAAATAACTATGAGTGCGGAGCAAGTTTTTAAAGGTAAAATGTTCAGAGATGCGTCCTTGCATAGTACTATAATACGTGCGCGTACATACTGATACAAGTACAGTGAATACTTACTCTATAGCATAGATAAGGAAAGCTACAGTTTTAATGCTATAAATGTTCTAATACTGTCAACATAATTCGTCTAAATGAAACTTATTCACTGTGTAGACACCTCGGCAATCTATGCCAGACTCTTCGATCACCGAGCAGCAATTCATGGTGAAGTAAACCATCTAATCAAAGAGCTTGAGGTAGAGAAATGCAAGTCAATCTTTCAATTTGAATGACTAGTAAACTTTATAATATAGATACAACTAGAAATTAGCCAATATACTACAGTGGTTGACGTAGTAAGCACTAGCCTATCCAAAATGTAAAATTATTAAACACAATTGCCATAAAATCCTATGAGAATTATATTCATCAGCCTGTATTGATCTCATGCTTGTAGCATAGGAGCTACAGTGAAATAGGGAGAAATAATATTATTTTTGATATACACATATCTTGGCATGTGGTAAATGACACTCAAACCATCATTATTCTTCATCCTACGTATTAACGTTGAACGTAAAAGAATCCTGCATAAAATCACTATCGAGAATTGAATGTTTATTTCAACTTTAGATAAAACGCAACGATCGTGAACTAATGCTGCTCAATAAATGCCACGAGAAAACTAGGCATGTTCAAATCCAATTACACCCTGAATGCGTGCAATATCTTCAACATCAAATTGAGAGCGCAGCTGAAAAGAGTAAGAACAATCTTCAAATATTTAAGATATACCTTTGTAAGAAAATGTGGTAGCTGATGTATACCTAGTATGTTACTAGAACAACCTATATGTCTACATTATGTAGACCTACAATATCATGCCTTAATCACATTTCTTATCATGAAAAACCTAACTATGTACTGTACACTTGGACGTCGTAAATAGTTTTGTCATTTGTACTAACAGTAAAGTAACCTTACAGTATATCAAATTTATCTACGACAGTAAATGATTTAACACAAAACTTATCAGAAATGATAAAGAAAGATTCGAGTGAAGAAGTAACAGAGGTTTGCTAACTTAGCTTGATATAATACCTAGCTTAGCTCATAACACCGATTTATCAACCTCTAATTTGGTATCAATATTTTACATTAACTAATAGACCAGGCCACGAAGTGAAAGTGTAGCGGACGAGTTTGCTGCAGAATGGGATGAATTTATGAGAGAAATGAATGAAAAATGCCAAAAAGTCGATAATGAATATAACGAAAAGATGAAACATTTATCAGATGACTTTTCTGAATTAAAGACTTGATATAATATCAATTAATTACATTAAAAACACATTTTTTTTATAATCTAATCAACACGGCTCTGTAAATAATAGTATTATTATTGTTAAATAATGTTTGCAACGCACCGCACTTTTCCATGTATTACTGTATCTCTTATAGAGTGAACAGGTGTGAATAATACTTGTCTGTATGTTACTGCCACCGTTTTACTGTATTGATCTTATAAATTTAAATGATCTCATTTCCTAATATAATTGCTATTCTGTACAGTAACGGAGATTACAAAATAATCTTAAATAAATGTTTTGATGATGCTCGCCAAAACCATGTAAGATAAGTAATGGATCTCATCTTATGTTATATGAACGTTTATCAGTTTATCATTTCTTGCCATCAATTACAAAACGGTAACAGCTAGGCTAGATTTAGGGAATAGATCCTAAAGTTATCAGTTAATTGGTATATGTGCAGGCATTATTCTAGGCTTTTCGAGTTTATATGGAGATATTCATTTTGTCGACTTAATGCAATGTTTTACGATAAGAAATTTCACTGCCTATGTAATGCGGTTGTTAATGTAAATGATAAAGCTACCCGGTTATAAACCAGATATTGATGTTTCCTTGATGTTGATAAATTGATATATGTATATTACCGATCTTGTTTAACTTGCTCTGTGCATACGAGTTTATACTTAGCACTTTGACCATCTAATAGACTACTACTTCATTTGAATCACGTTTAGGGTAAACTTAAATACAACAATGATTCTTATTACTGCATTAGACACTCTTAGTATTGTATACTACTAGATGATACCAATTCTGCCTATTAGTGCCGTCTTAAAATGTAGCTTCATGCGTATACATTTACGGTAAATTCCAATATATTCAGTAACGTCAACTGACCATTATATAACAAAAATTCTCTTCGCAAGTAAAAAAATGACTCATAAACATAGCTGACTCCCAATATTAAGTACCTTTTAGGCTGGTATTAAGTGATAACATCAGCTCCACGAATGGAATGGACAATGTTCAATGTAAAATTTCTTAAATTGTGCATTTGAACGGTAGTAATACAGTATATTTGTGTTCCTGTTCATGCTATCCTCCAATACGTTTAATAATATATAACATAGGTATTATTACAATCTTAATACAGCTAAGCTAAAGAAACTAATTTACTGCCAAAAAAGGAGAAATTATAGAATTTACCGATTGTTTCGAAATAGTTAGTCATTGAATACAATCGTATAACCATAAAATCGATATATCTAATGTTTACTAATAGGCCATATACTATCACCATACATTATATCTAATTAGTAGGTCCTATTTCATTCCTATTATTACTAAAACCATCCTTTGATTACGTTTTACTGTCGATATTCATTCTTAGCAGTAATATATATACACATGTAGACAAACTACCAAATTCAGAACGTTTATACTTAGAATTGATTTGGTATCGATGCTTTAAAAAATCTAAATATGATTTCTATTAGTTATCATTGATTTCATAAATCCATTTGCTGTAGGAATATGAGCAAAATTAAGCAAGTGTCTGAGATTACCAAAATTACTCAAGGTAGTTTCTATCACAGGTTATTCAAGCTAGCTAAGCTGTAGATTTTTATATCTTCTATTAATAGGATCTCAAATTGTGACATAACTAATTTTCACCAGTGGAATTAATAAAGTCTTGTACTTGTAGCTGTATATTAGACGAGAATTACGATATTTAAGACATTATTTCAACAAATTTTCGCAAAGCTTTCAATTGCTTAAATTGAGATTTCCTTACAGAGACTGTAGGGCAGTCGCAACATAAGTGCAAAAAGAATTTGAGATTTACTTGCTGTAAATTATTATTACCATGATTACGAGATTAAGAAGTTACTGCTTTGCGATGTGTGCTATATGAATACACTAGACGTTGCTGATATACAACTACTGATTTATTCAGCAACCATTACCTAATAAAACATCAAATAGTAATTGTAGGGTGTAAGGACAATATACACAAACAATACTGTATAATATTTTTGGTATTACTAATTTTGTACGTTGTAAATTACTGTTTCTACGGAGGATCAAAGTATTTATGTGATACAGCAATCACCTCTCAGGGAATATCCTTAATAAGAAGTTAATAAATAGCAGATCGATTTAGTAACGGGCGGTTTCTTTAGAATCTGAGCCTTCAATTAAAGAGATTATATCTTGGGTAACCTTGTTATGTAAAACATAGAAATAAAATAAGTTCTTTCACCTATTTTTTTAATTAGCTAAATCAAGTGAAAGAGACAACAGCATGCATAATTATTTTACACTGACATATCGCAATTCATCTAAAACGTTATGCGAAGAGGAAGAAAAACCTTGTTTCATTAAGCTGATCAGGTCAGTGAATTTCCCTTTTGATGATTCTAATTTATTAGAATGAAGGGCCTTAGGAAAGCCGTAAAAAGCTATACTAGAACTACGTAACATGTTTTAGTGAACCATTTCCATATGTATAATTAAATAGAAAACCTTCATATTGAATAGTAATCTAAACTCATTATAAATACTAATATTTTGGTCAACATGTTCTTATCAAAAACAAAATAACAATACGAGATAATCTAATACTTATAAGAGTAATATTGCATCCAAGCAAATGATATTTCTGTTATAATCTTACGACAATGAAGCACAGTAGTTGTAAAGCGTATCAAATCATAATGGTGTATATATAGTATCGAATTTATTGGTAAGCTTTCACTTTATAGTTGGTACAATCTCTAACTGCAGATAGATTAAAACTATAATTACATTTCGATTAGATAAACTGAACTGTCCATTAAAAAATTAACAGAGATAGAAAATTTAAAGTGAATAAGCACAAGTAAATAAATAATATTTATAGAACTTTTCAATAGCTATATCAGAATAGTCATAATCCAATGGCTCTTTAAAGGTATTTTTCATGCGTATAATTAATCATTGATATATAATGTGTGATTATGAATCAAAATGATGCTACAAATATCACATTAATATTTTACCATCGAATCTGTTAGTTGAAGACAAATTAGTGAGTTATATGAATGTGGTCGTATCATACCTTTAAAATAAAAAGGAAACTTTAATAATAAATCACGTAATTTATCAATATGATTCTCATTGCTTTAAAATTTTATTAAATAAAATATAGTAGAAAATCGATAAAGCTACAAAATGATAATGACGATTAATAGGCACCTATGAGTGTAATTATTGAATACTCGTATGTCAAGCAAAACAACATGCGTCTTTATTTAGTTACACATATTTCATTTTTTATATATTTATTCATTAGGTATTATATTTTGACATAATGATGTGGTTAGTGAATCATCTCAAGACAGTAGAGATTGATAATGTAATCAAGCAGGTGGTAGGTGCTTTCAATCATATCTTCCTGTATAAAAGTTGAAAAATAATTAGCTGAATCCGTAAACATTCCACACCGTTTCTGTCAGATATTTTCACTAAGGCAATCCAATGTGAAACTAGACCGGTGCTCAAAATCATTCAGCCGTCATTTTCACACACATAAAAGATGTCTATCAACTGAACAATAAACACTACCAAGACAAGGTTTTACCTATTGCAAATCAGTAATAAGGAATTAATTAAGGAGCGATACAATAGGTATCTAGATTATACACATGAATAATATAAAGTGTTAGGATAATGAGTGTGAATTTTTGCCAGAAGGCATTTAATCCAATTCCTTGTTTGCATTGGAAAGTAAATTATTCCCCTATGCAATTTTCATCATATCATTCGTTCTTTCCTCCTCTCATTATAATAGAAACTAAGTCTATTCAGTTTATTTATTTTCTATTTTTAATCAATAGGAAAATAGAATCTTAATAAATTTGCGAACTGATCATCAAAATACAACTAATCGAGACAAATATCTATTGTAAATTGATATTATCACTAATATCCAAATGTATTTATAGTGAAATAGAGTTATTTATAATATTAGTGCTTTAATCATAACGATACATTGTTTATATCTGTTAACAGAGAAAATTAATGTACTGTACAACATAAGGAGATTATTTACAAGCTATGATAACCTACGGTTTACCCTTGTCTTTAAGGGATAATTATTTGATACATTTGTATTACAGTTAAATATCAAAGATATTAAGCTAGATTGCAGTTTTTAGACCATCGATATTATTTACTTTTACAGCTAACTGACATTAAAATAGTTCAATCTACTTTTGTGTCAACTTGTCATCAGAATACACGTCCTAAAAAATTTTTGTCTAAAAGCCTTAATTACTGTCCCTTCAAGTGAACTAGACCTATCCTGTAAAATAGTACAAAAAGAGATAAAAAAATTGTCCATTTATAGGATAGATTTCGTATTACTTTTTAACTTCTTCATCGATAATAATTAATATATAAACATGTATATGCAATCTTGTGCTCATATATTAATTGTTTCATAATTTTTACCTGAAAAGCCAGTATGCCATATTATTTAAAAATAATCAAAAAATTACTAACCAAATGAAAAAAATAATCCATGATTAGCATTACTTAAAATGATCATAGTAAACTAGGACAAGAAAGATGCGAGTGATCATACAGGCTAAAAAACATATTTACTAAGTAGAGTAATGATCGTTTTGATTAAATTAATATCCACATATGGACGTGTGCCTATTTCATTTATTGCCATCAGCTGAATTGAAAGTATTGGCTACAATGCTGTCAACATAACATAAAACTGATCGTTAAGATGGCCTACTTTTTAATTCGTATACGTATTTCTTTTTGATCAGTTGACTTAAGTACGAAGTATCTGCTACAATACTATTAATATGAATAAAACCAATCATTAAAGATGGCTACTTTTTGCTACGAGTTAATATTCCTTTTTATGGCGAATTGATAAGAATAAGAAGTAAAAGAATGATCTAGGAAGGAACTATCAATATCATGTAAAACTGATTACTAAGACTGTCGAT